AGAGAGAGAGAGAGAGAGAGAGAGAGAGAGAGAGAGAGAGAGAGAGAGACTCTCCAGAAGTTGGGCTTTCTTTTCTCATATTCATGTCTCTCTCTCAGGCCCCCAGCAGCCTCCTGGAGGCCTTGGAGCAGCACTTGGCCTCTCTGGAGGGCAAGAAGACTAAGGAGCTGAATGCCGACACCAGGTAGCTGTCGCTACCACGTATCACAACCAACCCCCTTTTAAAGACACATAAAAGGGTCAAAGCAGAGTAAAATGGCTGCCTAAATCCATCTCCAAAATGCCTTTTGCAGAGCGTCCACCCTGTCCAGCGCCGTCTCATCTCTGTCCACCACCGGCATGTCCTTCAGCCGCATGGACGAGAAGGAGAAGCAGCAGGCCCTGGAGGAGGAGCAGGCCAGACTGCAGGCTCTTAAGGTAACGGATTATACACTTTTATGACAAATCGCCTCTGACTCGGTGCTGGAGCATCAAAGCTATTAATAACAGCAGCATGTGAATTTGCGACATAATAAAAGGTTTGGATAGATTTGTGCAGGCAGATGACCAGACTACCAGGAACCAGTGTCTGATAGTCTGTCTGGATCATTTTTATTCAGTTTCCTTTTAGCTAAATTCTCTGAATTCCTTCTGGTAAACAGTTACGCTGTGTGTGTGTGTGTGTGTGTGTGTGTGTGTGTGTGTGTGTCCAGGGCTTTTATTGTGAAAGGTAAGAACAGAAGGAGGGTTGCTTTTGTCAAGGTTGAAAGGAGTAATAAAGTTTGCAGTCTTAGTTCAACCTACACATGCTGATGCCTTGAAGCGTGGCCTCTAACACCACATCCAATGTAGTAGATAATGCATTTTAAAAAAGAACAAAAATCCACGACCACGTTGTTTCTCCCGTCTATCATGTTTCTCTTGTGTAACTGCATGTCTGTGCAAAGAACCAAAGTCCAGCGTGTTGTTTGTGTGAGGACACGAGGCCAATCATGTTGATTCTTAAATGTTTTATAATGGTCGGCCTGTGAAGCACCTCGTATTGTCCTTTTAATGCATCTTTTTAAAATAATTTTACTGTTAAATTTACATTATTTAGTCATGAAATGTGGGACTTGAGGAAACTAAACTAGATACACAAAATTCCTCGTACAAAACTAGACATCAAACTCTCTATAAACTTACTGTATAATTAAACCTTGTGAGGAAAAATGTGTGCGTGCACAGATTTGACTTTAGATCATTTGAACTACAAAAACTCAATCACAATAAGCTGAAAATGTGTGACTGCAGTCATTGACGTGGATTGAAGACCACGCTGTGACTGCTGGCAGAGCCACGGTCAACACTTGAGCTCTGACAAACTAAAATTGCTGTTGCCGATAGATTTCCCAGCAACTCTGCCGATCGCTGAACTCCAGTTGAGGATGAAAGCCAAGAGTCTCAGTGGCGAGCCGGGCCATAGAAAAAGTCAAGTGTAAAATGTGTTGACATTTTTTGCTCCGGCCCTGGGGGGGTCCTGCCTTACAGCAAACTGTAATCGAGTAAGAGCAGTGAAGCTCCTGAAACACACACAGCCGCTGTGTGTGTGTGTGTGTGTGTGTGTGTGTGTGTGTGTGTGTGTGTGTGTGCGTTAAGCGTGCTCCCATCCTGGCAGAGAAGACACAGTTTGTGTCTAGCAGTGTTGTCGGATTCGTGTGTGTACCAAGTGGCTGATTTGTGCACCCGCCTGTGTGTGTGTGTGTGTGTGCGGGGTTGATTGGATTTTTTTTAGTGCGCTGTTTACTCCGTGCCCTTGGTTGCCCTGTTTCTGCCGAGGTCCACTGATTACCTTTGGGTTCAGTTTGGAAGGAGGAGGGGAGATAAAGTGAGCGCTGAACATAACACAGCGAGGGTGAGCAGGGGGTCGTCCAGATACTCCAGTCCAGCTGTCTGCGCGCTCTGGTGTCCATATGGACTCGACACACTCACACACATCTCTAAAAAAAACCCACTCTGCTACTGTCCAGCTGGGGCCTCAACCCAAACAATAACATCGGCTCCCATTTGTTCCTCGGTACACGGTCAGAATACAAATGAAGAGGATTCGGGGCCCGGCGGGGGCTGGTACAGCAGGAGAGCCTCTTCATTATTCTGCTCCAAGTCCAAATTCTTTTAAAGGGTGGACGAGGTTGTGAAGTCAATTGGGTCATTCCCATACCTTTTTTAAAGTTTGGGTTTGGAACTGAATTAAAACAGCTTTTTTTTTTTTTGTCACGAGAAAACCAATGTGATTAGCCGTAAAGTTCTCGCAGCTAATAGTCTGTCATTATACACACACTGTGTGTGCTGAATCCCACACCACCAGGAAACGGGGATGCTGAGATGCTGAACACAGGAAGTCAGCAGAGGACGGCACACCTTTAGAGAGCGTATGAGAATGTGTTTGTCTTATATTATGTAGAGTTTACTGGAAACAAAAGTCTCATTCATTTCCAATGGGAAGTGCCTGTTTTAACCATTGATTTCCTGATTACATTGTGGTGTGTTTGTGTGTTTTCCAGGACCTGCGCCTGAAGGAGATGGGCATGCAGACTCCTCCCTCTGCCTCCCCCAGCAGCCAATCAATAGGCGGTGGCATCAGCAACAACAACCACATCACACAAACCCCAGAGTTGTTCACCGCCACGCTGTCTGCCAACAGGTGTACACACACACACACACACACACCTGTTATATTGTTTGGATATTGAATATTGATCACAGATGGATAAATAGATACTTATATACATTATTGCTACAAAAACAGTCAGACGATGTATTTAACAGACACGTTTTGCTTTGAACTTCTCTAATATGAAGTACATGTTGGTTGCACAATAAATGGCTGTTGAATAATTACACAATCAGCGTTTAGTTTGGTTCCCCATAACGTTCACTTTCACGATTCAATTCTGTCTGCCACAAGTGTGTCAACCGTTGCCCAACCAAAACAGGAAGACGGGCAGCGCTTCCGTTTTCCCCGGCAGCTATTCCCAGTTAAAGAGTCTCAATCTGAAGCTCTTTGCAGTTTCTCCCGTAGTGGAAATGGCACGAAAAGTAACTGTGGAAAACCAAAATGCAGTGTGTGTCCTATTCCAATGAAAGTAGCACTAGCTCCAAAAGTGGCTAAAAGTCATACGCTCATTTGCATATCGGTGATGTCGTAGCACATTAATTTGCATAAAGCATTGGGAATTAATTACAATGTAATATATTGGAATTTATGTCTTCTTTTTTTACCCAGTGGTCTCAATAATTCACTAAATTTGACGCTAGCAGCTCTGAGGAAAAACGGAAAGCTTTCCAAATTTCCACAATTAAGTGTCCAGTATGAAAAGAAGAATACTCTGCAGGCTGTTTTAGATTTCTTCCCCAACAAAACGAACCCTCGTATCACACCAGTGACTGCTTCCAGCTGTAGCGGAGCGACAATAAGACTTTGTTCTCGATAATCAGAACCGAATTTATACTCAACATGCACACACTGTCACACGCTGCGAGTTTACTGCTCCAAACTGTTTTATTGCTCCGCGGAAGTTTTTTTACAGCCCTTCAGAGAGCGAGGATTAATCTTAATCTGTGACAAACGCACATCTTTAATGGTGACTTCAGCTATTTATGTGCTGTTGATTAAATACTAATGCCGTCTGTCTTTCCGTACACCTCTGTTCTGTCTCTCTTCGTCTTCTGGCGGACTTCTTCGCTCTCCGCCATTCATCTCATCTTCCCATTGTCTCTCTTTTCTCTCACTGAATTTTCATCTCTTCTTTCTCTATCCTGCCACTTCTGTCTTTCTCCTTCTTCTTCTCTCATTATCCCTCTTTCCTTCCTTCTCTCTCTCTCTTTCCCTCCTCAGTGTGCCCAATCTGAACAGCGACCTGTTTGATCTTCAGCCGGCCTTCATCCCCGCTGTGCAGAGCAATCCTTCAATCTCCACCGCCAACAGTGCCTGGGGAGGTGTGCTGCACACACACACACACACACACACCTGCAGGTGCACACATGCAAATAAGACTTGCATACACACACACTGATCAATTTATGTGAGTGTTTTGCATTCTGGGGGTTTTCTCCCTCCGGCCAGTCGTCCACATCTCTGCCCATCCATCTGTCTTTTTATGTGAACCATCCATCCTCCCGTCACCATTCCCTCCTCTCCTTCAGAAACTAATGTTGCATGACCCAGCCGGTGTCTTGCGTAGACGCACATTTAAACAAGTTTCCGTGGGCGTCTGTGTTTACGTTGTGAGCACTCGCGGTACTTTTGTGATAATGAATCCTGTAACCAATGAGATCTGACCGACCCCACTCCTCGTTTTCTTCTTTGGCAGTGTAGGAAAATTGTGGCTGCGGCAGAAATGCTGAGCAACATCATCGGCTTTCACATATTAGCTTTGTTGTACTGGATACCCCCTCCTCCCCCCTCCTGTTCCTGAATATAAATTGACATTTCAGCTCAAAATCAGCGCATCAAAAAAGTAGCACAAAGATGAGTCTGGAAGCACTGTTAGCGCGGATTATTACAGGATTTATGACAGAGGATTAAGCTGAAGCCGTTTATATAAAGAGTTTGGCCAGATTTCAGAGTCGGAGCTACTTCTTAGCTTAAATATCAGCCGTTACGCTATCAGTGGCTGTGACACAGGAGTTGGGATAACGATCCCCTGTGCTTTCCTCAACAACAACACAAAGGATACTCACTCCAGTAAACGCCAACGGCTATAAACCTCAGAAACACTGATGTGTTAAAGGAATAGTTTGCCATTTGGGGGAAATATGCTTAATTAGCTTTCTGGCAGAGAGTTTTAGACGAGAAGATTGACGCGACTCTCGCACGAAGCTACAGACAGCAGCCGGTTAGCCTAGCTTAGCATAAAGACTGGAAACGAGGGGAAACGGTTAACCTGAATTCACCGAGCAGCTCCTCAAAAGCCCACCAATTAACACCTTGTACCTGTGCTTGTTTCCTGTGAAGTGGGAAACAAGAATTTGCCATTTTACGGGGGTTTGTGTGCTAAACTATTTCCTGCCTCGAGGAAGTTAATGTTCCTGGCCAAGAAATAGTTTGGTACATTTATTCTGTAAAAGACAATATTCCGACTGAGCCGTTAACATGGCTGCTAAAAAGGAATATTCCACTAATATTCCCCATAACATGCAGCATTATATACTCTGATTAACGTAAAACACACCCATGACGTACGCCCTACAGCTACGCCTTTGAAATACCTTGAATTCCCCTTCCTGTTCCAGATGTACGATGCAAAAAAAGGCTGGTTGTAAACAAGCAAATGTGTCGCACAGAAAAACAATTGAAACATTCTGAATGTGCTGTAAACGTGTCAAAAGAATGTCTTAATCTGAAAATGCAGCATTCAGAAAAAGGCCTAATTTAAAAGGAATGTGCTGTTTACATGATCCATAGCAAAATGATTATGGTCATATTGACAGTGTGCCTGTAGACGTAGTCCGTATTGTGTTTCCTGAGAGGTTCGTTGTAACGATAGATGTCATTCTTGTGATTTTCGTAGCGTATTCTCGTTTCGTGGACTCCACAAAGACAACGGCTCTCTGAGGCTTCAAGCCTTTAATCCCCAAACAGGGATGTGGATGGAGACAAAAGGTGTATTGCCGGATTTTCTCGTGCACGGGCTTAGCTCTCCTCTGAAAGCCTGACATTCCCGACAGCCTCCACAGAATCCCAAGTTACCAAGCAACAACACTGGCAGCACTCCGGAGACCGTAACGTCCACGTTCTTCGTCTAATTGGATTAGTTTAGCGGGGAGGTGGTGGAAAGCCATGATTTCCTAAACAGGCTAAAATCACAATCTGATGTTTGTATCTGCAGCTCTTTTAAATCTGTTGTCAGAGAGTCCCGGACGGTTATCTGCTGCGGCTTAAACATTCACATCTAACTGCATCCCTCAGGATTGGAGAACCAGCAGCAGCAGACCAGCGCAGCCATGACTGTAGATTTCGATGCTGTGTTTGGGAATAAGGCCGCGCCCAGTAACAACGGCCCACAACCTGCAGCCGGTAAAGCCAGCTCTGAAGACTAAAAACCTTTTTGACTCCGCTCGGCTAGCACGAGCGTAGCATTGAACTAACCCTCTGACCTGGGTGGGTGTTGGTAGCTTTACTAGCTCTGTCTCGTAGCCTGTTGTTTGAGTCTAACACTGTAGTGACGGTAACCCTTAATCCCAGAGACGAGGGATCAGTTAACTTTAAATTCAGTTGGATTGTCAAGTAACTTGATAAAGGAAAATACATCGAAACAGGAGACAAAGATCAGAAAAGATCATTTGTAGGTTTTTATTAAGTTTCCTTCTTCCGGACTGTGTGAGTGTATTTTGATCAGATATAAGTGACGACATAAGATAACGACCCCGCAACTGTGATCAGATTTTGATTTAGATATTATTATTTTATATAATGCGTCAGAGCCCCGCCCAATTTAGGGCCTTTTAAATATCACACATTGAACTAAAAGTTAACTGATCCCAGCTCTTGATTTCCCTCCATGACTCGTCTTTTCTTTGAGGGTTCCTACACAGATCTGCAAATTCTACAAATATGAGCAATGAAACAAATCTTTTCCAGTTTATAAACCGACAGGAAAGTTGGCTAAATGCTATTAATTCTTTTTATGTTGGAGTTCTCCTTAGTATCATCAGTCATAAAATGATTCTGAGTAAAAGCAAAGGCATAGTGTCCAGTTATTTCCTGTGAATCTTTTGGCTTCCATCATTTAATCCATTGAATAGATAGTGTGGAGGAACCCTCTCTCCACTATTACAGCTGCTCTTGTTGTGGTTTCCTGCCTGTTACGGTAACCGCTTCAGACTGATGGCTCTTAAGCGTCGCAGGTCTGGGACTTTGGCTCCGAGCTGCGTTATTGGCTTACTTTCCTTTAACCGCTCAGCAACTGACACAATCAATCTCTGTACTCCTCAAACCCCATTCGGGTCCTGAGACGCTCCTGCAGAGGATATCACGTGAGCAGCTATATACCTGCAGCCATCGTAGAAAAGTCCAGAACCAGCTAAATACTCACTAGCACACAAAATGTGTATTAATCCACGACTGAATATAGTGCCAAACGTTTGCTTCCAGTGGCCAGTTGTTTTAGTAAATAATTTAACCTTTTTATAGATTCACGTCTTCAGTAGGAGTGCCGCATAAATGCTGGGATTGTTGGAAAGTTTAGGAGACCATTTGGGATTTTGAATATTGCCAGAATTATCCCGACAATTTCAGTGAAAAGCATTGTTAAAAGAAATGTTAATTGTCATTGTTTATCAGGCAAATTTGCTCTATATTCTTAAACAATCCGTTATTTCCAAAGTGAGGTCTCACTCTGGTCCGTTTTTACAGGTTCAAACCTATCTTCTTGTCTTCATCCAGCCGAGTGTAGTTGTGTTTTTTTCACAGCCCATCAATTAGCGCTACAGGAGATTTGCCAGGATTAATCCACACCAGCAGTCGCTGCACATGTCGTTCAAACTCATCTGTGTGACTTAATGGAAACAGCACTATCACACAGCGCGAGATCACCAAGTATACAGCTGGAAAACCTTTCTTAGAAAACAACAAATGGACTCTGAAGCGGTTTCGTTTATTTCCTGGCAGAAATAGTGATTTCCACGGTATTGGTTGTGTTTGCACAGCTGCATCGTTGCTTCTTCAAACATTTCCCAGATAAAGCTTTTGTTTTCCAAATGTTTTGCAAGACTTCAGTGCAGATTTCTCTGGCTTGCTCTAATCTTTAACCCCGTTGAACTCTGCTGCTCTGCTCTGAAGTAACAGTTGGAGGCTTGCGGCCGCAGTGTGCAGCCCGGTTCTGGCTTTGGACGGACTAACTTCCTTCTATAAATAGAGCTCTTGTTGAAGCTGCCACTACAAATACCAATGCACCATCTGGCAGCATCTCACAAAAATCCCTGTGTGTGTGTGCGCGCGCGCAGCTACTGTACTGCATGTTTCCATCTGCATCGTCTGCACACCGTCCACATGTCATTTTATGTCCGTGTTTGTAAAAGTCTGTTCACAAGTTGTCTGTCACTTTGCTTCATCCCATCTGTCTGCTACTGCTCCTCTGTTTTGTTTTGTTGTCGTTCACACCGTTTGCACACTCCACCCTCCCTTTATTTCCTCCCTCTCTCTCTCTCCTTTGCCTCATCGTCTCCCGATCACACTTCACAAAGCAAGAATCACCCAGGCAACTCCTTTCCATCTGCTCTCCTCTTCCTCTTTGCTCTCCCGCCCGCCTCCTCTGCAAAGTCTCCAATTTTTTTCCCCCCACTTTTATCTGACTGCACAAGGAGTTGGAAGCGTAGTTGCTTCTGTTTAATATTGGATTTTTAAAAACATTTTAAAGGCAGCGCACAATATGTGATGTCTTCATAATGTATTCTCCATTTTCCATCATCCATATCTATTGCCGTTGCAATTATTCCTCTAAGGGATGCCTCTTTGTTTCTGTGGAAGACTGCTGAGATTTTTCATTTAATTTGAGCAAATTAATATCTCTGTTAATGCCTTTGCTGTATCTGTTATTTCACCATTTTAACGTGTGTTGTCTCTGCTTGTATTTATGCCATTTCATTTTGTTATATTGAACTATTTACTGTCTCAATCTTTGCTCGTGCTCAACCTTCTTCTCTGTTAACACATGAAAGAAAGACTAACTGAAGGTTATTGAATATATTGTTATCGGCAAACTAATCAAGTTTCAGTACTTTTAAGCTAAAGGCACAACAGCAATCTTACACGGTCAGACCGAGGGAGTCAGTGAGAGCTGATGCCGTCACATTTGCGTAAACGCTGCAGATTAAATCCACAGAGATGCACATGTGATGACTCGTTTATCATCTGTTATGCATAAAAGGAGGATTGTGTTAGAATAAGATAAGTGTGTTCTTACATTCTTCCTTATTGTACTACAAGGACTAACTAGCTCTACACTGCAAAACAATTATGATCATTTATTTCTCGTTGAGGAAGACTAGTTATGTCTTTGAATAGTGCTGCTGACGTGTCGTTCTTTAGACGGAGACGAGACGACGAGAGAGAAGGGGAAATGGTGAGACAAAAACATGACAAAAAAAAAAGTTGAGGCCAGCTTGACGGTGATTTGTAGCGCGTCTAGTGTCACTGACTTGTTGCTCGTAGTGAACAAAGAGCTGCAGGAATGAGTCCTAAACCCGCACTTCTGGTTCTCTCGTCTCCAAGTTCATGGATTTATGGTTAGTTTGAAATCAAAGTGGTGTTAATTTATTAACACTATCTTGCTGAACAAAAGTATCATAAACCAGAGTTTAGTTTCTGCAATAATCCAAAATACAATGGGGAAAATCTCATTGTCTTTCTGTCTAGGGAACCAGTGCGATGCACAAATACTTCATCTGAGCAGCACTCTGTAGAATAAGGGGGTGGAGCTTCAGTTCCTTGCCTCATAATGATTTACTGCTGAAATTATTTCTCTAAAGGATGCAGCTTTACTTCCGTTTCCTGTGGAAGATTGCGGACGTGTATTTCTCATAATGCTTTTGCTTTATCTGGAATTAAGATTTTGTGATCGGCGACTCGCTAAAGGTCATAAAATCAATAGCAAAACAAAAGTGAGAATACACTTCTCCCTTCATATCATATCCGTCCCTAAACATTATGCAAGCGTTGCGGCTCCTTCTGTAAAGATGCTGTCATATCTATAACAGCCGTTACTTTAACCAATAGATGACCCAGCATGTCTGAACAGGGCTTTCAGATATTCCAACTAAATAGTTTGTAAGTAACAGATTTCTCCCTCCCACCGGTTTGTAATTGAACCCTTCGACATGGATTTACTTCCTCGCTTCCCTTTGATCTTAAATTCTATTGGCTGTCAAATCCTCTGCTGAAACACCTAAGCTAACACTAATAGCATTATCCCCCACAGTTCAATACGGCGCTCGCTTCATCGCCTCCCTCCTCCATCTATCTGCTCCGTGGTTCGTGTGTGATCTACCGGGAGAGCTCGTCTCTCTTCTTCTCTCCCTTTCATCTCCTCCTCTCTTCCCCTCTCGGTTCAGTTTAATTCAGCAGGCTTTACTGGCACGGTGGTTTTAAGAAGCAGAATAAAAAATCACCCACATTGCCAAAGTGTTTTATCACAGTGACGACAACTTGAGGATTCAAGAGAAGTAAAAAGACTGTGGTTGCTTCTTCATTTTCCTTCTTTAACTTCCTTCTTCTTCTCTGTCTCCGTGTGCTTCTCCTCCTCCTCTCCCTCCTTTTTTTCTCATCTGCTAAGCTAGCAGGAAAAGTGTTTTCTGAATCTCTTGTGTCAGCACCGCTGTCAGACCTGCATACCGCTTCCTAACTGAATATTATTCCTCCCTTTTTCTTTTTTTTTTTTGTTCTCCCCACATCAGTTGCCTCTTTCTTTTCCTCCTCCTCTGTGTTTCACAGGGACGCTGTAGGTTTACAGATGTCGTCTTGCATTCACGTCTCCTTCTTGTTCTGTTTTTTTATAGCTTTGCTTTGTCACCTTTCGTTTCATTTCTGCCACGAAAGAGAGGAAACAATAATACATATAATTACCTAAAAAATCTACCGCTTATCATGTTGTGTTCGCTTTTAATTTCCCTTTTTTTTTTCTCGTCTTTTCAACACACACACACACACACAGTCACAAGTTTCCACCAGCAGAGTGATACCGAGCTATTAGTTGGATGAGTGCTGACATGGGGAGTTGTTAACAGACACACATCCGTAAACACCAGCACAGGAAATTACTCATTTGTCATTTGTACCTACCGGTCATGGGCTGCAACTTTACACAGTCTCTCTAACACACAAACACACACACACATGCATGTTCAAAACGAATCACTGTTGGGCGTAGGAGTGTGTACATGACGGCCACGAACAGATAAATCAATCATCTCTAGAACAAGTGCTGCGAGCTACTGAGTCAGGGATTACGGGCCGGCTGCTGATGGAACGAGGCTGCAGCGTGACTTTAATAAAAGAGTGGAGTCTCCGTCGAGTGTATCTGCTTTAAACGGGAAGCTCTGCCCGTGTAGGTAAACGCTGAAAATAGAGCAGGACGAATGCATTAACGGCAATGCTCGCAGTGAGATTTGATCGTTCGCATTAAGGAAGGCACAGCTCAGCAATATTCTCGGATCAAAACCGTCCGGCGCTGCTTTCGTTAATGCGGTCGAATCGCGAGTGTAAAGTTTTGGGGGGGGAAATTAGGCAGAAAGTTGAGTCGGCTCTCATTTAGATTCAGGACTTTTAATGCGTTTGAAATCGGTTGCTTCTGTTCTTTAACTCTCTTCACCTCGAGCGTGAGTTCCCCCCTCACTGCTTCTTCACATTTTTCTGGCCAGTTTGCAATTTGGTGAAACGGTACAGCGCATATGCCATTTACAATTGCAGACTTTCTTTAAACAATGGGTCCTTTGGATTAAAGGGCCGGTGTGTAGGATTTAGTTGTATCTACTGTAGAGGTGAGGTTGCAGATTGCAACCAACCAAATAGCTCTCCGCTCAAACGTGTAGAGAACTACGGTGGCCTTCAGGTAACGCAATAGGCCCTCTCCAGATCCAGTGGTTGGTTTGTCCATTCTGGGCTACTGTAGAAACACGGCGGACTCTGTAAAGAGAACCCAGTCCCTGTAGATAAACACGCCTCATTCTACGCTAACGAAAACACAACTGTTATTAGTTTCAGGTGATTACACACTCAAGAAAACAGTTATCAATACTAAATTCCCTTTCTGCCTACACACCGAGCTAAGCATGTTACGTTAGCCACGGAGTGTTAAGTTCTCCAAATCTAATCGAGCGCAGGACTTTTATTGCAGATAAACATAATGTTAAATGCGTTTCTTACAGTTTAATTGTGATTTTAGGTTTATGAAAGACCTCCAGTGGAGACATTCAAAGCTTGACGGGAGAGCCGATTGTGCAATCATTGTTTTAATGGAAAGGGGGTTTACCGACTAATCTGATATACGTTTCTACTTTTACTTTCCTCTGTGTGTCTGTGTGGTGTGCTAACCCCTGCTCTGTCCATATGATGTTGTTACCAGCCAATCTTCTCTTAAATGTATCATAAACGTGCGTTATTTACATGCGTGAGTCTGCTTCTCCTTCAGGTTTCGATGCTCTAGGAGACCTGTTGAAGCCTACGATGCCCGCACACAACGCTCCTCTTCCTCCCCCTCAAATGGCCATCCATCACGGAGGAAAGCTGCTAGCCAACGACCTCGACTCCTCTCTGGCCAACCTCGTGGGCAGTGAGTGTCCAGATGCATGTGCACGCGTAGCTGAATGTGTCGACATTAACGGTTGAACATTTATGTAATTGGGCTCTGACATCATATTTCTTATGCATTCTTTCCTATTGACTGTGCATGCAGATACAAGGACGCACACTGTCATATCACAGAATACTAAAACACCGGTCGCTTTCACATGTTTTTTAAAGAAAACAAAACCTCTCTTCATGTACAATTTCAATTAAACACGTGAATGTTGATAACTAGTGAAAAGATTGATGTCGGGGAACAAAGATGAAGGGAAGTCGGAGAGGGAGAGATAAACATTTCCTCTCTTTTATCTGTGATCGCTCATTTTCTCTCCGTTTCCTCAGATCTGCAGTTCGGCGGGACCCCGGCCAAGAAGTAAGTGTCTTTGAGTTGTGATGATACCGTTTCAATGTTGTGCCCGTAGTCCAGGCTGGAGGATTTATGCACTGACAAAACAAATGCGCCTCACTGTTGTACTTAACTCAACTATTGCCAGCATCCCTAAGTTCAGTCTGCCAACACATAAACTTCCACTACTAAAAGTCAACTTTAATTTATTATTAAGTATTCAGTCGCTTTTAACTCCTCGGGTTTGCGATGAAGTGCTTCTGTAGAGCGTTAAAAAGGCAAGAGACTGCAAGTACGGCAGAAACATGAATAGGAGTCTTTGTGCAGCAGAGTTGTTGCTCTTTAAAAACCACAATGCGCCTCAGAGGGGGAAATGAAGAATAAGAATAATCTCCAAGTAAATCTTCAGCATTTTTATCTTCCAAGACGTGAGTTTGCTGCTGTTTTTGAACCGGCCCTGAGGTTGAGCGGGTTAGGATGACGCTGTGTTTGTTTGGTTGCGCTGTTCGTCCCTCTTCAGGCCAGAGATGCAGTGGAACCAGAGCGGAGAGAAGAAGCTGACGGGAGGCCATAACTGGCAGAATAAGACCATGTCGACCACACAGTGGGGCCCGGCGCCCATGGCTCCACAGCCCATGCCTGTTCAACACGTGGTAAGGAGACAGAAACTCACACTGAACACGAAGACGCACGAAAAACAAAAGACTCGTTTGAGTCGTGTGGTGCAGTAAAACCTGAGAGTTTGCCCTAAAAGAATCCATCAAGGTGTCTGAAAGTTTATTACAACTTGGATCTTATTTTGATGAATGAAGCCAAAACTACTAAAAATAAGAGCCAAGTTGTAATAGACCAGAAGTATCCTTAATGAGAATCAATCAAGGTGTCTGTAAATCCCGGAAACGTCTCAAAAAGTCAAATAGCTTCAAGTGTTTAATTAATTCTTTAATATGTTCTGACTTCTTATTGTTTTGTATTAAAGGAATAGTTTGTGGGAAATACACGTATTTCTTGATGAGTGTTGGATAAGAAGATCAGTAACTCTCTCGTGTCTGTCCATAAAACATGGCGCTACAGCCAACAGCTTAGCTTAGCACAAACACTTGAAACAGATGGAAACAGCTAGCCTGGCTCTGTAAATCCAGCTACCAGCTCACTAATTAACACGTTACGTCTTGTGTGTTTAATCCGTACAAACAATTCATGATTTTTCAGGGGGTCACATTATTTGCCAGACTGTTTCCTGGCTTCACTTAGCTTAGCTTAGCTTAGCATACAGACTTTAAACGGTTTGAAACGGCTAGCTTGGATCCGTCCAATGCTAACAAAATCTGCCTACCAGACATGAGAGTGATAGCAATGTTCTCGTCTAACACTAAACAGAAAGAAAACGTCACAAAAATACAACTTTACCTGCGAGAAATCAGTGTGGCTGCACAGAACGAGCTGTTTTTAAGTTTTGGAAGTGTTAGTTAACCTGAAAAATACTTGCAGACACCTCGCTATTGAAATACAGGATCTAAGACTGTGTGACGGTCTGTGTGCATGGGAATGTTTTGCACTTCTATGTTCCATATATAGATGGAAGTGTTGGTCATGTGAGTGCATTGTGTTGGTGCAGTATATAGCTGCCTGTGCATGCTGTGCGTGTGTGTGTGTGTGTGTGTGTGTGCGTGTGCGTGTGTGTGTGTGTGTGCGTGCGTGCTGATCTTGGCAGCTCCTGATTGGCCTCCTGATCTCCGGACAGCCGTTTCTGGCTGACGAGGACAAACTGTCACTAACCCTCCGCTTCCTCTCTTTCTCCCTTTCCTCCCCTCCATATATCTATTTATTTTTCTCTCTCTCTCCTTTCCTTCCTTCTTCCCTCCTCCCTCCTGCTGTCATTCCTTCTCTCCTTCCCGTGCCGCTCCTCCTCTTCATGCATTCTGTTTTGTTTTTTTGCACCGTCATCCGCTCGTCTTCCTTCCCCTCTTCGTCCGTTTTATCGCGTCTCTGTTTTGTGTTGTCATCTGCTCGTCCTGTTTTCGCCGCACTGCCTTTGACATCTGCCCGGCCGTATTCTGACCCCTCATACTTTAAAAAACAAAAATGTGCTTAACTTGCTTCTGTTGGTCTTCCATCTTTGCCTACGTTGTGGTTTCTTTCTTTTCCCTTCCACGCTCCTCTGTTCTTCTCATTTGTCCTCTTTACCTTCTCTTGGTAACTTTTTCTTTGCATCCCTCTTTCATCATCTCCTCATTTTCTTGGATTTTCTCCCCCCCCCTCACGTTGTCATGTTCTCTCATCCTCTCCCCTCTCCCGTCCCTCTCCATCTTTCTCTCCGTCTGTCTTTTGTCTCTTTTCCTTGTTGCGTCCTGATGCAGAATGGAATGTTCTATACTAGTTATGTAAGTACTTATCCCTGTTTAGTAAAAAAACGTCTCAATGACTTCTCAGTGACTCCTGTAATGTGCTTTCAACCTCCCTCTCGCTGTCTCCCACTTTTCTCTGTCATCTCTTTCTTTCTTGTGTTCTTTGGAGAGACGTATAACCCCCTCACCTCTGTGCTACAGGCTAATGATCTGTGCTAGTTATGTAAGCACCAACATATAAACTGTGATACCAGGAAGTCAGAGGAGGGTGCTACTTTTGTCCTCGTGTTACTTTCCTTGTCTCTTGTACATCTTCCTGATGCCATGTTGTTGTTTTTTATGAAGCTAAGTACAACTGACCCCTGAATAAGATTATTAACTTTCATGAAGTGAAAACACACTGTGAAAGAGTTAAAGTTCTAAGACGAAAACACAGACAACTCCCAGACCGGCCAACGCCGTGGTAGCGACCTGTCAATCACTGTGTAGCCCCGCCCTAAAGCGTACTCTGCTTTATTGTCTGTTTGACTCTAAATGGACCATAATTCACTAAGTGAACATCATGCTGTATTGAAGAAGACTTGAAACTAGAGATTGAGACCATAAACTCATGTTTACAATGTTTACTGAGGTAATAAATCAAGAGAGAAGTAGAGTCATTTTGTCATAGACTTCTATACAACCAGAGGAGTCGCCCCCTGGTGGACACTAGAGAGAACGCAGCTTTAAAATACTTCTGCATTAGCTTCATTTTTCAGACCCGGAGGTTGATTCTAATACCAAGAATTGCCTGTGAATCCTGATATATCTTATTACTCCAAAACAAACTAAGATGTATTTTCCCATCTTATATGGTACAAGAGAAAAGTACATTGTGTTGTCAGCAGTGAACTGAAGGGGAGAATATTAATAGAACTGCTCAATAGTGTCACCGAGAAATAAAACTCATTGTCTCTGTGAATATACACGCCTCAAAAACAGCAAATATATCCTCCAAAAGCCGTAACATGATAAATAAGTCATGTGGTGATATATATAAGACATCGCAGGTAGCGGGGAAGCGAATAAGTAGGGTGTCATGCATGATAAGTGAAACCCCCACATCTGAGGTTCTCGCCAGGAGGGCAAAGTTGTAACGGTCTGCGATCTCTGAATACTTAAAAATGTCAGCCAGAAATCCTGCAAAGCCTTTTTATTTTAACCTTCACTTGAACAAGCAGAGTTCTGACTTTGCAGAGAGAGTAAAAGAAAGAAGAGAGAGGGAGACGGGAAAGGGAATAGCAGAAGTTCACCTCTGAGAAGTCTGGATTAAGGATGCAGAGAAAAGATTTAAATGGAAAGCGAACACACAGGTAGGAAAGGAGGGAGACCCGCTGGAGGGAAAGGAGAGAGGGTGAGCGTGAAAAGACAGATTCAAGACAAACTGTAAAGCATTCTGCGTCAAGGGCCAACAGATGGACATAAATACAGATGGAGGCGGTGCATGAACAGCGGCTCGTCTGCTCGGTTTCTCTCTCGTACATCTTCTTGTCACGCTTAAATAAATAAAATAAAGTGTCATTTGGCGCAAGAACGGTGAGAGCCGTCAGACTCGGACGGATTGTTTGTGCTTCAGGTGCAGATCAAAGTAAAGTCTGTTAAGTCTTTCATCGCGATAGCTGTCTCTACATCCACGGCTACACTGCAAACAGTAGCTGCTAATAACTAATTCGTCATGCTTTAAATTGTGGCCATTTGCCTAAATGTAAACAAATATAAGCTAAACAATGACATATTCTGTACTGATTATAGAGCTTGTTTTTATTAAAAGCAACAAACTATGGACACTTAAGTCATCTAGAATACAGTAAGCTACATTTATACTGCGATGTTTAAACATTGATTTAAACTTCTGCCACCGACTGAACTGACACATGACAGTTTTTGACCTTAATTAAAAAGGACAGAAAATGTTTAATTAATTACTGTTTTGCACACTGTGTGTCAGAAGTCAGGTTGAGCTAAAAGGTTTATAAAATACTGTAAGACGAGACTCTTTATAGATCAACCAGCGCTATGTGCTATTTGTTAACAGCATCGACTAAGTAGCACTTAAAGGAGAACGCTGGTGTAGTTTAATTATTCCATAATGTAATCCATCATTTTAGGTGAGACTGTGAAGCTAATGCACGTGCAGCTGCAGACTGGAAGCACGTTTAACACCTCTGGAATGATTGAGGCGTTATGAAGTCATGTTAGGAAATGCCTCAGTTGTCTCGTTTACAATGATGGATTAGGGTCTGTGAAGGCATCAGCGTGTTTCTGCAAGCTGTTTAATGTGTTGTATTTACAAACGGTGTGAGCCCTCGACTTCCTGGTGAGCAGGACGACCCGCAGCGTTAAAAACAGTCGCAACTTCTGACTGCAGCAAAAAAAAACTGTACAATTATAGGTGGTAGAGGGGGGGGGGACACGGAAGCAGGTATTCTCAAATTGCCCGTCACGTTTGAATTGCAGGAGCTGCTCAGCCGGAGTGGATTTGATTTGTGGAGTGCGGAGGGTTGGGGCTTAAACGCTGTCCTATCGAGCCGCCCCCTTTTTAAAGCGGCGGTAATGATCGCTCCCAGCGGGGTTCCCCTCGGTACCTCTGCTGCGCGCGGTATTGTCGCGCTCCTAATGTGCACACTTTGTCAGCATTACGTGTGTTTTCTCCTCGCGTGCACATTACGCCGTGCGTGTCGTGTTCAGACGTGTCTAATAGAGACAGATGAGACATTTTGTCTGAGCTAAAATTGTCTAAGTCTTCCGATGTTAAGTCCTTTTTTTATGCTATAGCAACCGCAGTAGCTTTCAGCGTATGCATGCTATGAAATGTGTGTTTTTTCTGCCACTTCTGCTTTAAGTTGACTCCTGCTCTCTGCCTTTCCATCCAGGCTCCAGCTCCCATGGCTTTTCCCATGACCACACCGCAAGTGCCTGTGTATGGAATGGTGAGTTCAACGTGCAAACATGCAGAAATAGGGCTGCAAGTATTATTACTAAATGTGTAGAAAATAGCAACCAAATCAGATTCTCAGAGCCGAATGTGACATCTTCAAATGTCTTGTTTTTGTCCGACCAACAGTCCAAAACCAAAAGATATTCAGTTTACACACAAGAACCAGCTGGCTTTGGCTTTTTAGCTCAACATTTCCTTTGTCTTCTCTTCCTTCTCCTCCGTTTCCATCCCTGTTTCTCTGACTCTTGTTTTTTGTGTCCCGTCTTCCTCCCTCCCCCCTCCTGTCTCTCCAGGTCCCTCCCCACATGGGTCAGATGGGCGGGGTACCAGTGATGGCTCCTCAGGCAATGATGTACAACCAGCCTGTTCTCAGACCCACCAACCCCTTCGCACCGATGCCCGGAGCCCAGGTCAGCTATCCAGTACTTGTGCATTCATACGCACAGAACGACACCTTTGCAACTGAAAAGGTGTTTAACAGTGAACTGTAATAACAACCTGTTCATGTAACATGTCTCTTCTTTTTGTGTCCTTATATGAGCTAACTTATGAACACCCGGGGTTCGTTCTCTTATCAGGTCATGTTGGCTAATTCATGCAATAATACGACTTTCCAAGGACCTGTTTTTATTAATAATGCAATGTGGCATAACTCCAAGACAGAACTGATGATGTGATGAGGATAAAAGGATCAAAATAAACTCTTTTCTCTATTTTCTCCACTCTTTTTCTGTCTATTCAGATGCAGTTTATGTAATCCAGTCAGGGGGAAGCAGAGTGCCAAACAAACAAACAAACAGCAGAAGAAAACACACGAGAGGAGCGATCAGATGGACGGAGGAATGATTTGATCGAGATAAAACGACCGAGAGACAGACAGACGACAAGATAACCAACCGACACCAAAAAAAACACGTTGGAAGGAGGAGGAGGAGGAGGAGATGAGCGAGCAGAGGATGGAGGGATGGTGGTGGGAAGATGTCATCCCGGCTGGTTGTTGTCTGAAACAACTCCGTACGTGTGTGTGTGTGTAGCCTCTTTCTGTTACACTGTCTAATTTGTGTTTTAAATCATATCGATGGAGTGATGCGTCAGGAGAGGGAATAAGGGTGAGAGAGAAAGATGGGAGGAGGAGGAAGAGAGGAGGAGGAAATCCTCCCTCTGTGAGAGTCTCTGCTGCAGAATTAGCTTTATTTCATACTGGTGCTACTTTTGTCCCCTCCGGGTTACCGTCCGCCTGCAACGGCAACTTGGGAACCCTCTGGAGGGGACAAGTGTTGAGTGTGTGTGTGTGTGTGTGTTTGTGCGGCAGTTGTTTCAGACAATACCTTCACAACCCACCTCCCCTCCATCCCCCTTCGTTCGTTGTCCGCGTCCACAAACGTACCAATAAGCGAGAGATTTACAGGCAGATCTCCTCGAGTGTGTTTCCCGTAGTTTCCCTCTCTGTCGGGGAGATCTTTGTATTTTTCGGCCTGTTTTCTTCTGCAGCCTCTCCTGAATGTTGTACAGCAACTTGTTGAACCATTTGTTAATAATAGCATAATGTTGTTATGGGTTTTTAAGCTTAAGTCTTTGTTTACCCATGCTGTGTTGATTTCTTCTTCTAAAGCTACAGATACACACAGAGACATGAGGAGGATTAGCGGTGAAACGACGCGCTTGCGCTGTGAAAAGGCATCTAAATTGTCTGCGAACCAAAAAGCCCTAAAGCCTGGTCACACCAGAGAGCGGTAAAGCCAATTTCATCTGTTCATCTTCGAGAAACGTGGTTTTATAAGCGACGACTCGCAGGACCGCTGTAGCTGGAGAGCTAATTGCTAACACGCTAGCGCTAGTTGGCCGAAATTTCTCCATTTTTATTTGTCTGTTTCTCATTTAAGTCTCTGAAAGTTATGGAAGAGATGAGAAACGACTCACACTGAGCTAGCTAGTGTTCAGTCTGCCGGTTAGCGAGGACCTTTAAGTGTCCCTGCAAGGGCACAAGATGGAGGACAATTAATTCAGCACTTGGCACAACTGAGACGAATACTCGTGTTTTGTACCCCACGATCCACTAAAACATAGTTTATTTGAAAACTGTATAATAACACTATTAAACACGATGTTATACCTTTTCAAACTAAACGCAAGGTGTTCGTTAGTGCGCATTAGCTGCTATTTATTCTGAAAACAAATTTCTACGAATGTCTTTGTGGTCTATGAATAACTTAATGAGCTACAACAACAAAGATCACCGGCCCTCCCGAGCTGGTCGACAGCGATACATCGGTGTTTAAAGCAGACGTTTAAGGCATCAATGAGGTTTTTTTATTGGGTGATAATGAGCGGGACATAACACGATAAACGTTCACAGCCAACAAGCGACGACGGCTTCCTTCATTTTCCCGCCAAAAGTCGAGATTTTGGTACAACAGATTTCACCGTTTAAAGTGCTGGTGTGACCGGGCATTACACATTTATCTTGACACAGTTTTGGCTGCCATTACTCTCCGTAGAGGGTTTAAACTGAGTATTTATTGTTAGCGTTAGCTACCTGTTAGCACCCGGTTAACCTGTGTGTATCTGTCCCTCTCGTCCTCATCAGCTCAGACGTCACAGGCTTCTAAATTAAGAGTTTTGTTTAATATATATTAGGTACACCCTATTGGCAGATCCACACAATGTGCCGGTGATTGAAGACAGCAGCACTGAGTGAGTGATTAAATGTTATTGATTTGAATTAAATTGCACTGAATCAAAGCGAGTGGCTTTAAAGTGCGACACTGAACTTTTGGCTCCACCCCCTCCGCTCCGAGGCTCCAGGAAACTAAAATTTTGGGGGATAAAATTTGAGGTTGTGTGCGATTCCTCAGCAAAGCGTGCGTCACCATGAGTTTGACTGTTGGTTTATGTGTTCACGTGCGCGCTTACACATTTTATGCGTTTTCTTTTTTTTTTTTTCTCCATTGAGGGCTATTTTCTGAGGGTCGAATTGTGTCAAATTTCCAGCCAAATTTGAGCCGGCGAATTTGACGCAAATGTTGCTTTTTTTTGTTTTGGTTTCAAATCAAAAACAAAATTTGTTTTTGTTGCAAAATGCACATGCAAATATTTTGCACTGAAGTGACTATCCTGCCGCAAGTAGAGCTGCTGCCGGTGTGAAAACGTTGAGGAGATTCGGAAGTTTGTAGAAATCGTTTTGAGGGTTTTACAATAACGAGTTTGTTCTAATCTACCAGCCACTTTTGGCGGTCGACTAAAAAAAAAAAAAACCGAATATATACTAGTTTTTTCCTGCCATTCTAACAGCGAACTTGAAACCTTTTTGTAGTCCCATCGCCATCCCAAGTCCAGTGTCCCAGTGAAAGCTCGTCACGCACATCAGATCTATAGAATCTCGCTTCAACTCTTGTCTAGTTGCTCTATCTCTAGAATGCTTCTTTAGCTTGCTTCGTCACTGTTCGGTGTGTGTAGATATGTAAAGAAAATAGTACTAATACCCAGTTTCTGTCTAGATCGTCCGCTCCCACCCATCGCTGTTGGATAGATATTGCTCTTTAGACGCTTCTTGTCTTGTGTTAGCGTAGCCTCTCCTCATAGTATCCTCCTTTTTATAGAAGAGCTCCCGTAGTAGACTTCCCGCCTTCGTCCTCTCCTCTGCCAGTGTCTAGTGACTATAGCTCTAGTGTCTCTCTCGGTGTCTCTGTCTTTTAGCTGTAGACGAAACCTCTCGAGAGGCTCTCGGGGGGCTTTGTGGTTCGCTTTGAGCGCGCTCTCTTTTCTTCTCGCTGTTAGCATCGCTCCCGTGTCTGGTTAGATAGGGTCCTTGTCTTTTCCTTTTGTTTTTTCTTCATCCCCCCCTCGTCTCGACAACATCGGCCATCTTCGCTTCTTCACGTTACGATGTCGGCAGCCGACACACTTGTCTCTGAACCCAGACGGCCAATCAGAATGCTTGGATATCCAGGTCTTTTTTGTGACAAACGGGAGAGTCAAGTACAGTGTTTGTCGTGCAGCCAGATTAGGAAATGATAGTCTGCTCAACTAGCCACGTATAAAGTATATTGGGACGAATAAAAGTTAATTTCAAAGCCCCGATAATAAGAGAACATGTAGGTTTTCTTTTGTTTGTGAGTCCGGACAAAACGCCTTCAAAGAACTTGAACATTAAAGTTGTTTTCTGGTGTTTGTCCCCGAATCTGAATCAACATGAAGTCCCATCTGGCCTCCGACTCGCACTCTTTCCTTAATGTCCGTCTGCGCTCTGGCACCAGACGTGAGCTCTAATCGCGGCTCTTTATTTCTCCCCGGAGCAGCCGTGTCACCGTCTCTGATCTGGCAGCGATGCATCGGCACACGGCAGAAAGAGAGAGCCGCTACCGTCCGTGGCACCGATGGTCACATATTTAGCTTTTCTTTCCATTTTTGCTAAACCTTACGTTGACCTGCATGGAATCCCGTCCTGCCTGTTGCGATGAGATAGTCGTTGTCCGTGCGTCTCAAGTGGTTTCAAAATGGTCGAGAGCGAGCGCGTCGAGACCTCTGTGGTTCCTTTGAGTCTCCTAAATGTTTCTGGCTCCTCTCCTTGATGTAGCTGGCGGTAATCATCACAGCTTTATCATGTCGGGTCATTTGTTTTTACGCTATTTATCCAGCGGGGAGGGGGTGTTGGCCGAGCATGCGGGCTCTATTTTTTCGGCAACTCCCTTCCTCAAAAATTCAGACACTTTCTCACATTTGCAGCTGGGAGTTTCCCACCAAAACCACCGTTTCTGTTTTTAATCATTTGCTATACAAACGTGGTCCCGTGTGGGATCAGACCAGGCACAACCTCGTGGCTAAGCTGCTACCACCTCTCTGCATTGTTGTAGCATGAATCCAGGTGGAGAAGGATGAACGTTGATGTCATAAGAATGCCCGTCCTCTGCTGAAGGCCCGAGTGTACCAATCGTTCAGATGGCGAGCCGTTTCGCTCTTTTTTGGGGTCGGTTGAGTGCATGGTTGTATCGTTGTTTGTTGTCCCCAAAAAGAAGCATGATGTGATGGTGGACGGATCTCGCTTTCCCGACCAGTCAGTCCTCGTCCGCGACGGGGACTGAATCCGACCGATGTTTGTTTTACGCTGCCGATAAACGAGCCACTGTAGCAACAAAAAAACCCGGAGCGCCCAACGTCTTTTTGTGTTACTTCTCCCCAAAGATGTCACACTCGCAGCACAGATTCGTCCTCGGTTGACGGTCGCTGTTCGCTTCATTAAAGAAAAGATGAAACGAAGGAAGAGAAGCTTTTTTTAAACGGATACGACCCCCCCCCCCCCCTCATTCTGTCCAGTGCGTCGGTGTGTCGAGTCAAAGATCTCTTGTGCACGTTCTGGTTTTTCTACATCTGTGTTTTTTGGTAAGAACCCTCGGATTGCTGCCTCACTAATCTGTATATAAAGAAACGCACCACACTCACAACACAGAGCTTAAAACACATACTCTCATAACCTGCGACCTGCGTTATTCTTTCATTTATCTCCCTGAGCGTTGATGTTATTACAGCCGTATATACACAGGTGTGATTGCTCCTCGGTGGGGGCGGCTGCAGACCTCCCTGTACATCAGGACCAGCCATGAATTCTCAATGATGCCAAATGTTTTGTTTTTGAGCAGAGTAAATCTTTTGATCTCTCTCTCTTCTGTCTCCCCCCCCTCCCCATCTCTTTGTACATTTTCTTTCTATTTATTTAAAGCAGAATATATGGATTGTATCGAGCATGGAAAGGCAAACAAAAATGTTACAAAAAAAAACCCCACAGGCTTTTATTTTACAGCAGTATATTTGTTTATTCTAGGGATCTGTTTTCTCTCTCCTGTTTTTGGAAGAAATAAAAAGTCATTTTCCATTCCTAAGATGTTGTCTGTTGTCGTGTTTTAGGGAACTTGCTGAAGCAAGTGAAGTCTTTTCCTTAAACCGCCGTCTCCAAACCTTTAAGAGTCTCGGGTGATAAGCATCCACGGCTTTGAAAGGTCAAAGCGTGTTTCTTCTTATTTTTTATTGCAGCGCCAGAAGGCCTGAGTGTTTTTGTTTCTGTTGTTTATTCCGCCTCTTCATCAGTTTTATATTTTACTACAAAACGAGTTTTGAATTTTACACTGACTTGTTTTAACCTCGTCTGTCCCTTTTAACAGTGGACTGCTTCACATTCATACGAGCACATAACCGCTATTACCCGGGTTACAAATGCCTTGCTCAAGGGCACGTTGATGGTACTTACTGCAGGAGGAGAGCATGTTATAAATGCACTTTTCACATCTGTAGTTTACCCCATCAAACGCGGGTCTTTAATCAGAGAATTTAGTCACGAAATAAATCAATTTAAAATTTATTATCCAGGAAAAATCTATTTTTTCCATTAAAGGAGCCGCTCACACACAAATACCACAGCGATCGATTAAAACATTAACAGACATGATGATAAAACACCTCCAAACTAACTGCTCATAACTGCATGAACCATAATCATGGAATTGGGACAGCAAAGGTCTAAAGTTAGAAATAATATTAATATATATTTTGTCAGAAGTGACATTTGGAATATGAATCAACCAAAATATGTTGAATTTTACATATTTGAGGGTTTGCAGGTTTGTAAAAAGCACAAAAAATCTAAACAAATATAGGCAGTTATAAATATTGGTCACTGGTTAATAACACCGGTGTGTTATTAAATTTAGCTGTTAAATGACATAAATAAGTGTTTTTCCAAACTTGCACCAACTTATTAAGAGTATTTCTTACACTAGTGGACAGGAATCATATTTATATCTGTTATTTAACGTAACAGTGTGTTTATCACTAGTGAAGGCGAACATGTAGCAGCGAAGTGTTTTTAAAGCTGGTTCTAGTCTTGTACTGAATATCATCTCGGGCACGGAGACGAATCGTCATGCAGCGACTGCAGGAGGGTCGACCATCAATGATTCACTCGAGACCAAACGCTGCTGTTCGTCAGGCTCTGTACGTTATGATATATATATATATATATATTTCCCACTGAGAAGCATTTAATCAGAAACACTGAAACAGGATCACATGCATTACCTCTGGCTTCTGTGATGTACACAAACAGTTGTATTATTCACAGCTCAGTGGGAGGAGGTGGGTTATTCTGATCCTCACCGTGGGAGAGCTGCAGTCCTTCCTCTAACAAAATCAGACCAACGTGTCGCTGCACGCGGGGAAATACAGGTGTTTGTGTGTATATAGGTGTATACGAAAACAGGAAAACAGTCATTACACGCTGGCATGTTTTCCCACCGGTACAGAGAATGTAGCTTTACGGAGGCACATTCTGTCCTCAGGGTCTAAATAATTCATTATAATTCATAATTCATCTATTTTGCATCAAGAAACGACCGTCATTCATCACAAACTTTGTGAATATCTGATTTCCCGTCTAAAAACTGAAAGGAAACAATAAGTCTTATTTATATTTGTATAAACTTAACTATCCCCCCCCCCAACAACAACAATACATAATGGAATAAGATAACAGAAGCAAAACAAAAACATGAATAGTATGCAAGTCTGTGCATGGCAGAAGACTCCGCCTCTGACTGCATCAACCAGCAATGTTGACGTCTCTTACTTTTTCTAATGTCACTTAAAGAAAAGTCATCAAATCAACACAAGTGTGAGAAATGTTCCAGTGTACGTAAGTACGTCATCCTTTGCTCCATTTGGAGGATATCTGAGTTTAGAGAAGAGACATTTCCTGTTAAATCATAATCATCTCTGCTCCAAACCAGCTCCTTTATAAACTCTTTTGGTGCGGAGGACTTGACCGGTCTGCACAGAAGCCTCTGACCTCAACCCATCCGAGGATACAGTTATAGCGACATTACTGCCCTTTCTTTAGAGTGAGATGTCCAACAATGAGGGAATATTTGTTCCATCTTTGTATCTAATCAGAGCAATGTATTTCAGCTCTCCTTACTTCAACTTTTCCCTAGAAATACTCCCTAGATCTCAGTTTAGCAGGTGGACTAAGTGAGGAAACGGGCCCATGACTCGTCCTCTGACTGCAGGGGATCCAGTCCAGAAGCGGTCAGTGCTGCTGTGGTGACAGCCGACGCTCACCAGGAGGAATGTCAACCCCCACCGGCAGATAAGTTGTGACAGCTGTAAATTGAGAGAGGGAGGAGAGGAGGGAGCTGCTATTTTTATCTTTCATTCAGTCAGAGAGAGGGAGAGAGAGAGAGAGAGAGAGACCCTCTCTTTCTTTCTGCTCCCTCCAGAAGACGATCACCCTCTTTCTGGATCTTTCCTCTCCGCCTGGCCCGGAGAAACTTCTGGAGGTTTGGACCGCAGCAAAAAGAGGAAACCCGGCGGGTCGGAGGAAGAGATCAGAACAGACACGAGAAGGAGGACATCATCACACAAGCCAACATGGCTCTGCTCTGCTACAACAAAGGCTGTGGACTGAAGTTTGATGCTAAAAAGAACAAGGAGGGTAAGATGTGTTCATGTCTGCGTCTCCATTTCTCTTAAAAGTGACTTTAAGTACAGGCAATCTGTCCAGACCACCATCAACAGTATCTCAGTGAGATTGGGTTTCTCTGCTTTTATCCTGAAAGTATGTTCTTGTGACCACATTTATTAGCCTTTGTCAGTCTAGATATACAGATTAATGTAAAGTTTTGGGTCTAAATTTGACAAATGCTTTAGAAAAAGACCAAATACACAAGAGAGCAGGGATCAATGGGAGGGTTTTAAACCTTTACACAACAGATGGAAATAAAACCAGATTTATGGCCTTGATAGAATAAACAGAATAGACAAAGTTCAAAGTGTCCTGATTGTCACCGACGCTGTGAGTGTGAGACGTGCATGTGCATGAAAGGACACGTGTCTCTGGAAGCAGGAGAGCCGCTATCTTTCTAGCAACCGACTTCCTTTTATGGGACGCTCGCTCTCAACTCTAGTGACCCGGCTGAGCAGCTGGTCTGTGTGTGTGTGTGTGTGTGTGTGTGTGTGTGTCTAAATAAAGACTGACTCTGTCTTTTTTCCCTCTGAAAGCCTCCTGCGTCTTCCATCCAGGTGTCCCCATCTTCCACGATGCCCTGAAGGTAAAACTAATACAAAAGTAAACAAATAAACGACACTTTCATTTAGCTTGAGGGGGTGAAATAAATAAATAATAATTAATAATGATGTGTGTGTGTGTGTGTGTGTGTGTGTGTGTGTGTGTGTGTGTGTGT